TTGTATACACATAAGATGTGCAAACTGATGATTTGATATACTATATGTTGTAACATGACTACCACAATAAGCTAATTAACTCATCAGTCACCTCATATGGTGACTATTTAAAAATTTTTTGGTTATAAGATAAATAATTTCAGTTATAAGATAACTTATAACTTCTTCAGTTATAAGATAAAAAAAACTCCTGGGATCTAATGTGTAATTAGTTCATAATGTGGTATTGTATACTTGAATTTTGCTGAGAGATCATTTTATTTTAAATAGACTATATGCTTCTCAAGGTGAGGGCTGCATACATGTTTTTTCCCTCATGGAGACCCTTGCTTCTCGCTGGTTGGTGTCCTCCATGATACGTTCTCTTAGCTCCCTAAATACTTGTCAAAGCACTCTGCACACCTATCATTTACAATTTAATTAGTGATCTGAAATCTGTCTGCTACTCACAATGGCCTAGGACTCCATGAGGGCTGAGTCCATGTGATTTTGTTTACCACTTCATAACACGCACAGGCACAGAATTTGCCTCATGGAAGGAGATCAATAAATATATGTGGCTGCCTAACTGATTTGGGGAGAAAAAAAGAACCAAGCTATTAAGAACACAATGCAACTGCTTTTAGGCCAAACTGCCGCTAAATTGATTTCTATAAGAACCAAAATATTTCCTTCCATCTATCTTCATGAAAGTCAAAATGAGTTAAGAAGTACCTAGGAAGTACACAGCGGGATTGTAGATTCAGAGAGGGACACAGAAGAAATGAGTATTCCTTCAATAACATTTTCTACATGTTGCTGTAGGAAACGACTACAATGACCGTCACTGTAGGCAGGTCATCTGAAGAGCTGACTCTCTAGATCTTTGCCATATGAGTGCCACCCACTCACAAAGGTTTGTCTCCTTGCTCAGTCTGATAGCTGGAATAGCTATGTGTCTCACTTGCTCTGAAGGATGAGGTCTCCCAGAGCTGGCTGTTCTTAGGCACTTAAGGACTAATCCAAAATACATTCCTTTGCTGTATTCCAAATGTCTCCTACAGCCATGATGATGAGGCTACAGGACACAACTTGAATCTGAACCACCAGCTACTAATGTGCTATAAATATATTATTCTCATCATCATTTTTACGTGCATCAATTACTAAGCAAGGATTTTATAAAACCTTAACCTTAGCTAATGTCTTGGCTTTCTCTCTCCATTTTATCTAGTGCCCATGTGTCTCTAATCTCTATGGAAGTCTCTCCACCCTAAATATCTTCTAGGTTTATGGTGTACCCAACCTGTTCCAGAAGGTACTATGACTCCTGACTAGCTGTCACAATGTCCAAATCCTCTCCCTGGTTTTCAGAGCTCAGAAACTGATTCTCCTGTCTAACCTGACTTTTTTTGTTTGTTTTATTTTACTTCCCAAAATGGAGTTGCTGGTCTAAGGCCTTCATGTCACTGTGTCTAATGGGAAGATTAGATGGTATGGTATATGGTATATTTAATAGTATGTGGAAAAAACTCCATAAATGATGACTATGCTTATAAAGTCTTCAACATATTCCAGGCTTTTCTTTTCCTTCTTTAAATTCTCATTATCATAATAATCAGCACTGTACCACCTGGGATAAAGACACTCTAATTGATCTACTATTTTAGTTACTCTATTTCCATTAATAGACTTAAGTTCCCAGGGACCAGAGACCATGCTGTATATTTTCTCTATGTTTACAAAAATGCCTGGGATAGATGTAGCTGTTTTATAAACAAATTTTAATTAACATTTCATTTACCGAGTTTAATTTATTATAGCACATTTGTTGTGACTTTATCTCCTATAGTTAAATATTTTTCATAACTGTCTCTATAATCATGTGTAATACAATATAGGCCCTTATATATACTACATGGTTTCATAAAAATTAATTAGACGAAATGATAAGTTCATGTTTAAAGGCACCTCCCACTTTCTTATGTTTTGTTTGTTTTCTGTTTCTGTTTTTAAATATAAGGAAATTAATGATCAGAGATACTACATGATTGAATGAACATCAAATGCAAAGTTATAAAGCTAGTTGGTGGCCCCAACAAATCAAATAAAAACAGCTAGTGTTAAATAAAATGAAGAACTGGGAATTAAACATGATAACACAGTCTGTTAAGACAGGTGTATATATTTTTCCAATGTCTACAGAGAGAATGTAATTCTACCATTTATTTTTTATTGTAAGGAAAAACTCACTTCCCCAGAGTTAGAAGTGCTTTCACAGAAATGAGTTCATTTAATTTCACTGACTCCTGGGAAGAAATTTGGAGAATATATTAACTCTATGTTATAAATAAATTGTCTAGAGAGTTGAAGTGAAAGAGCTCAAGACTAGTCACCAAAATTGGTGGTTAAAACTCTAATCCCCACATGGGGATGCCACATCTGTCCACAGGACAGCATCATGGGTTTATAAATATGGTCTGGTATAAAGTCATTTTTAGATTAAAAAAAATCACATCAATATGTTCCAAAAGAGTTCTCTTAAGTATAACTACTCAGAAGAGCAGATATACAAGAACAAGGGGAGAAAACCAAGAGGATAATCTGGACAATGTCAAATTCAATGTGTCTTTTTTCTTTGAACCATGTGACTACATGGGGCACCAGAGGGTAAAAGATGGAATGATTCTTTTCTGGTCTTTATGCAATCTGGAATAGAAACTGGTTGTTTTTTTTTTTCTCCCCCTCAGGATAAATTTTAAATTACTATAGAGAGAAGAGAAATATAAAAGATGAGAAACACCGCGGAAATTCCCACACTGTTCCCAGGAGAGAAGTCCAAGTAACAGCAAACCTCTCCTCAGAGAAGTGTTTAACTGTTATATGGTTAATCCATTTGGAACACCTTGTTCTGAATGGAGAGAAAAAAGAGATTTGCTGTAAAGTCTTCCACTTCAACTCCCAAGAAGACAACAGTAGATTAGGTGACCAGAGAGACCACTTGGAAACTTACATGCTTGTGGTGTTTCTGAGTCATGTCTTAAGTCAGGGATAAAGCTGACTTTGAACGATGTGGTTCATGCTTCAGAAATGTTTCGCTCTAGACAGATGGACCATATGGAAACTATGAACTGGCTTCATACACAGGGCCATGATGAGCCAATGCAACACTTTCACGTTTTCTGTTTCTATTCAAGTCCTCCAGTGAACAACGTATTATTGTAAGACTTGGTNAAAAAAAAAAAAAAAAAAAAAAAAAAAAAAAAAAAAAAAAAAAAAAAAAAAAAAAAAAAAAAAAAAAAAAAAAAAAAAAAAAAAAAGAGGAGGCATAGATTTAAATAATCTGGGTACAATTGTTTAAAAAGGAGAAGCATCTAAGGAACTGTAATTTAAAGGTTTTCTTCCAAGGAGATTTACTGAAACATAACTAGATTGTATGTCTAAGACTAGGACAGACTAGCAGGATGTCCCCATATAGTAAATGTACCTCATTTTACAGATTCTAATTCTCAGCTTCTGAATTTTCTATTTTGATCAGAGAAAATCTTATAGGAAATTATAGAATTTATTCATTTCCACTCACAATGAAAAATTCAGGGAGGGAGGGATATTTGGGATATATTCACAGCAAACTGGCAGAATCAAAGGCTGAAACTGACCAATTTTAATTCTCCACTATCGGTACATAGATTTGATATGCTGGTGACCAAAAAAGTGAATCTTTAATATTCAAACAATAAACATGTTGGCATAGGAAACTGTTTGGTGTTATGCCGCAGCCTCGATGGGAGTGGAGTTTGGGGGAGAATGGATACATGTACATGTATGACTGAGTACTTCTGCTGTCTACCTGAAACTGTCACAACATTGTTGATTGGCTAAATCACAATATAAAATAAAAAATTAAAAAAATAAACATTTGATAGTCATAAAATCATTCAGACCTGGAAGAAATTATTTTTTATATATATGCTTTCATTTTTTATCTTGCTTCAAAGATTTGAAAAGATTCCTACCTATTAATTTTATCTTGGCTTATAATTATTCTCTATATCTATGAAAGATACAGCTCCTAGTTAACTACAATATAAATGTGTATTTTTAACCATTTCAATGAGACATTAAATATCTTTTAACATGACAAATTATTTGAGTCCATGGACCACACAGACCCTATATATCCAGCATAAACTAAAAATGCATTACACAATAAACGTGCTTTTAATGAGACCTACGAATTTTAACTGCAGAGTTTTAATATTTAATGTCCTGACAACATCTTTGTTTAATTTTGTCTATTGAGAGAGAATAACTGTGATACTTCTTAATGGTTCATCAACTCCTTCAGGTCATTGGAGAGAGCACCATTTTAAACATATCTATAAATAACTACAGTGCATGAAAAAACACTCTGCCTTCTACATGAAATGATGCTACACACACTAAGTGCATTTCCAAACTAATACACATTGCTGGTTTTTCATTAGTGAGATCAACTTAAACTCCATTTTTTAAAAGGAGCTATAAAGCTAATGCCAAGTCTAACAGATGGGTCAGCAAATAATTGTCTGCCCTTCTGCTTCTTCTAGTTGTCCTATTTGCTTCACAGGTGACACCAGGGTAAAAAGGAACATTATCTTACAGCTTCATTCATACATTGGATGGAGATGCAGGTGTCCAAAGTTCTAGGCGTCTATGATATTTGCACATCTCTCTTAAGTAACAAGGAGGAAAACCACAAGGAAAGCAACTTTATAAATATGAAGGCAAAAAAAAAAACCAAAAAAAAAAAAAAAAACCAAACCCAACTAAACACCCACATGGAAAAAAGCAAAAAACCATTCTGGATAAAACAAAGTAGATAAACGGTGTGAACTTTTCACAACACTCTACAAATAAAACAGCATTATTCAAAGGATGCAACGAAACTGGAAAAGGCAGCAACAATACATCATGAGACACAGAATCATCTGAAAGAAGCGGTCACGGACAGAAGTCACACAGAGGATTTCTTTTCTTACTTGCACAAGTATCTTGAGGGATTTGAAAGGTCTTTCACCATGAAGCACTCGCCTCCATTCACACAGAAGGTTTTCTCCTTCTCTGCACACTTGACAAGATGGCTTGTCCCAGCTGTAGATGTAGATGTGGCTGGATAAAAGATAAACAAGGGAAAGTTTTACACCCATCTTTCCCTCTTCTTAGCAGCCTTTAAATGCTCTTAAAAGGAAGAGCTCATATAGATAAGATGTACTCCACTAAACTTTCTGGCTTAACAAACAACAGCATTAAGACTTAAAGACACGAAGTACTTTCTACGTGTAAATAAATAGAACAAAATTATAAAAGGGTTAACTTAATATATATATGTTAATATATATAGTTAATTACAATTAAATAGGAAACAAGCATTTCTTATAACCAATACTTTATCTTCTAAAGAAGCGGAAAAGAGAAGATCTACTAAGAAAAATACATTTTCCATGTATGGCCAAGTCCCTTCACTGTTCACTTGAAACTATCACAACATTGTTAATTGGCCATACCTTAATATAAAATAAGAAGTTAAAAAAAAAAGAAAAATTTTCTAGGAAGGCTCAAAAATAGTGATATAAATTCATATCAGTGTAACTGAATTTAGGTATCAATTTTAAATGGCAACTAATAATTATGAAATGAAATATTATCTGACACAGTCTTGGTGATTTTTAACCCTTTGTCCTCCTTATTAATTTCTATTTTAGTATTTGCAACTGGAATTCAGATGCCATTATTTACTTATATTTGACCTTTCATGTATTTTTCCACTTTCTCCTGCCTTTCTTTTTCATTTCCTTCATCAGTGCACATTGTGCTTTGACATTTAACCTAATTGCTCCTCTAATTCTGCTTGATTATTACTCTACCTGATCAAAATACTGAGCACCTAATTATCCAGTTTCTGAATGATTCCATGCCTTTCTGGTCTCTTATTCTTCTGTCTAAGGCAAGTCTGGGACCATTTCATGGTTCTCACCAATGGCTTTTAGGAGAAGAGCAAAGGACAGTCAAAATGATTTGCACTTTGGAGACAGATCTGGTTCAAATACCATCTCCTACTAGCTTTGTGTTCAAGAGTAAGTTACTGAACCACCCAGATGGTCAATTTTCCCATTTAGAAAACAGGGGACTCTTACAGGACTTTTACAGAGATTATCAATAATCTAGGTAAAGGATCACCGATTCAGTGGACACGAGTTTGAGCGGGAGATAGACAAGGACAGGGACGCCTGGCGTGCTGCAGTCCATGGGATCACAGAGAGTTGGACACAACTTAGTGACTTGACAACTACAAGGTAAACGGACTGGTGCTAAACTGACATCTGATGAATAACAGCAGGTGAGAAAATGGAATAAGTAGGGAAGAATCTTAATTTTGGTATCTATCAATCAGATGTAAAGCTTAATAGAAATCTGAAGATTTCAAAGAGGCAAGCTTTTCTTGAATCATTACTATAGTAATTAAAAATTTGGTTCATTTCTTAACTATTCCAACAAAAAAGCTCTCTCCAACTCAGGTCTATAAACCTAATCAAAGAACCATGGAATGGAAAGAGAGGTTTTTTTACCCTCTGTTATCAGCTACCCTTTTACCATTTTCTTCTCAGGAAGAAGGGAACATAATTTGCATCATTTGGTCTATAGTATGATTGAGTAGGCAATTTCTATATATCACTTAGCATGAATTTTGACATATATCTTCATGTAAAAAACTATATACTTAGGTGTTATGAATATTTTCATCCATGGCAACTGCCTTTAAAAATATCAGGGGGGTGGTTGTCTTCAACGTTAAAGGTTTTGTGCTTAAGAACTTTCACTGCTGACAGGGATCTATGGAATGACAAATTGGGCAGAGTATTTCTGCTGAAGGGACCGCCCGCAGAGTTCTGTCACCCTCATTCCTGCAAAGGAGCTCTGAGCCTCCAGCAGACCCCAGCAGCAGTCCCTGAATCCCTCCTACCAGTCTGCTAAGAATTCCCCCTTATCCAAGCTGGGCAGCAAACACTGCAGCAGGCTCTTCCAGAACAAATGCTAAGGCTTTCACTAAAACCAGCAAAACCAACATTCCCTTCCCCGCCAAAGCGGACACTCCATATTCATTGCAAACTAACAAAGAAAATTAGCTGTGATAGACAGAAGAGACAGATACATCATACCTATTCCTTGGACCTTCTGATCTTGCATTATTAACTAAGTAGCATTAAGAAACGTGGGGTTAAAACTTGAAATAATCCATTCCCCCCTCCCCCAATCCTTTAAAAGTATTCTCCCTGACATGCATTATCCTTTGCGTGACACCCTGAGTTACAACACAATCATTTGAAACGTCCTTAGATCATGGACTAGGATCACTAGGAATAGGAATAGTTGATAATAACTCTTGGAGAAAATGAAGTAGCAGCTCTCTTATGCAATCAGGGACTATCCTACTTAGTGCTTACATCCTTTAGCAGCAGAAAGAATAAAAATGATCATGGAATTACAAAGCAGAAATTAACTCCCAGGAGACACAACGTGTGGACTGACTTGGGTACAGCTGTTCTGAACCAACAGCCAAACACAGGAATAAGTTGTAATTGTCAGAAGAACCGGGGATGGAAATGGTGATAAATGCATCTTTCAGATTTTTGCCAGGCTTCCTTATATTCTCGTTAGTTGAATGCTGTGCACAGTCAGCCCTAAGCAGATCTATAAATTTTGCAGTGATGTCCTTTGTCTTTGGCCTATACATGCTATATTGCTCAGTCAGTTTCCGTTTGGTAATTCTGCCAGAAATTAATGAAACAGACAAAGGAGGTTCTTCAGCCAAACTGTAGAAACAGCATTCTTTTTAAGGCAGCTGGTAGGAATTTATAAGAGGTAAAGATTACAGTTCTGCCAAGAGAATGTGCTTTTGATATCTAAAAGATGACCTTCATAGATGCTTTTAGAAGTACGCAACAGAGATCTCCCTTACTCAGTCCTTAATAAACTCTGCCTCCTGCTTTGTAACTAGTTGGTCAAAATCTGCGGGTAGAGTCAGAAACGACTTAAAAGCTAAACAACAACAAAAGTAAGTGCTGACTGAACAGCAGTTAGGAATACGCAACTATGACTTCATCACCTTTATGTTTGGCATTTATATGGACGTTTTGTGCCAAACACACCTTCTCTGGGATGTTACCAATTTCAAAATTATAAGGAAGAAAGTGTAAGTAGTACAGTAGTTGCTTCAAGCGTTTCACTCGCAGCCTGGTCTGTCAGGATAGACAAGTGACCGTCAGGACTAGTGACTAGTGACCATTTTGAGGAGGTCTGGACAGTTCTCTGACTTAACCAACGATGTGGAGACTAAATTTACCATTTTAAAGACTCCCCAAATCCTGCACCACGCAATAGGATTCCCTCCTTTCTAGCCTGCCTGCCTCCCTCCCTCCCTTTCTTCTTTTCATCTATCCACAATTCTTTAATGACCACCTAGACATAACAATAACTAAAGTCAGTGCAGTGGAAATCTGTAAGACTGTAAACAATTTTCCCTAAAAGGAGATCTTTATAGATAAAAGGTAGTGAAAGGACCCTAGAGTTAGCTGAGAAGAATCAGGTGCAAGGCACAATTTTGCCAAATACTATCTGCAGGACTCTGGCCCCAGCTACCTGTCTCAGAGTATTCAGCTACAAAAATGAGATATCATAGCATTGCTGCAAAGCTTGATAAAATGCTTTGCCAGCTGCAAAATTACACACAAAGAGATGACATGTTTCCATTACTAATGGCATAAATGTGGAACAAAGAGAAGCAAGAACATTTCTGTCCGGACTCTGTAATTACATACAATCAGCCTCGAATGTTGTTTCTTGGTAAATTATTCTTTTACAAAATGTGAAGAGATGGTTTGATTTGGAGGGGTAACCATTGAGTGATTATAAAACATGAAGTAAATATTAATAAATTATTCTTTTTCAAAATCACTGTCAATAATTTATAAACTATTCGATTTGCTTATAAAATAAAACTGAAGAACAATTGAGCTAAAAGAAAAAGGAACTATCTCAAATATGTAATTATTTTCAACTTTCCAGATCCACATAATTCTATAATGGTTCTTAAAATTTTTTTATTGAAGAATATGATTTACAATATATTGTAAGTTTCAGGTGTAATTCTCGAACATTTCTGACTGGGCTTCCAAGTTACATAAATTCAATGTATTTACAATCTTATGGGTTATCTGAACAGTTTAAAACTCTAAAATATTTAAAAATATTAATAGCAACATGTCTATAGAATATGGGCCACAGAATCAGTAACTAAACATTTTGGAAATCACATACTATTGCACACTTTAGTAAATATACACAATAAAATTTTGAGAAGTAATTAAGTGTTGGCTGCTCATTACTAAATATTTTCCCATGGAATCACACAGTGTATTTCCTGTAGTGTACCAGGGTTTTTCTGCTCAAAGACAGCCTAAAAAGAAAATACTGCTGGAAAGGATGGTTCACTTTCTTGCTTGTTTTAGGTGGTGTTTTCCTTATCAGTGAAGTAGATAGCACTAACAGACCACAGCTATTACACAAAAGGAAACAGCTGATAAGAAACCAGTCTATTCTTCTTTGACAATTAGCAGGAATTAGTATGAGTTTATAGTGTTTACCTCAAGGAAGGATCATTAGATCCTGTCTTCCCTGAGGGAATGAGCCCAGGATAGGAGTTTTAAGGACAATTCTTAACAGTTTACTTGCAAAAGATGAAATTAAATCACTCCATGCAGTTTTCTCAATAACATATACAAACACTAACAATTTTTATATTCCGATATGAAACTGTCAATCGCTGCAAAGTTGCAGGATTTTTTTTTTTCTCCAATCCTTACCTGTGATATTTTCCGTGGCTATATATTTAGAAATCTGCATGTTTCCTTGATCTTCGATCTCCCAATTTTTAAAAATAAATCTGAAATTATTATTTTTGCTTAGAATATAGCTCTTCAGCTCTTTGAACTTCTACTAGGAAAAAATGCTTATGTGGTTCCGGAAAATGATGCTCTGGCTCAGAAGATGAGCAGGAAAAGAGCCACGCCACCTAACGCAGTTCCTTTAGATGCCAACGGATGGGTGGGGAAGGCATTTGTTCTCCAAAGGAAGATCCAGAGCCAGACAAAACCACGGAAGCATTGCTCTGGGTTGGCATTTTTTTTTTTTCAAGTAGTAATTCAATCCTTTGCTGAATAGCAAATAGATACTTGGGGGGGAAAAAGTGATAAGAGAAGATCAAAGAAACCCATCCTGACCTGGGTATCTCCTAGGCCCATCTCCTTGGCCTCTCCTCTCCTCAACTCTGCTATAGAAACACTTCCCTCTTCCTAAGGGAAGAACCATCATGAGATCATAAGTGGAACCAGAACTTTCTAAAGTAGAATTAGAGCATCTCACTTCATGGACCTCAGCACTCACTAATAAACTGGAAGTAATGCTTTTTAAGATTTTTTTTTTAATGGGGACCATTGTTTAAAGTCTTTATTGAATTTGTTACAATATCTCTTCTGTTTTCTGTTTTGTTTTTTTGGCCTTGAGGCAGGGATCGAACCCACATCCCCTCATTGGAAGGTGAAGTTGTAACCCCTGGACTGCCAGCAAAGTCCCAAGCTGGAAATACTTAGAAGCTGGTAGATTACCCACAAGGTAAGTATCTGTCCAAAGAATAAGGCGACAAAGGTTGATGGAGGTTATTTGATTTAAGTGATGACTTGAGTTTTAGCATCTAATGAACACGAAGAATGGTGGACCAAAAAGAATCTTCACACATTGTGTCATTTATCCCATATTGAAAAAGAGGATACAAATCATCTCAAAAGAATAGTTCTGCAGCCTTTTATAAAATTCCTCAAGCAATTCACAAAAGTGTATAGGCTGCCCAAGGTCACAGAAGTGAATCACGACACACTCATTTTCTATTTTCTTATATGTATATTGGGGCTGAAGGCGATTCGTAAGATTGCCTTTAGATTCCTCCCTCCGTTCCAAGCTCTCTGGGAAGACTCTAGTATTATTTCTTCCTTCTTCGGCAGAATGAAAAGTGACCCACGGGGTTTCTCCACGTAAAAGAAAATTCTAATTTTTGTTGTAACCCTGAGCTCATTTGTAGCTAAACAGAAAACAGATTCTAAGTTGCCAGCAGTCGCTGAGCAAATGCCTGGGTGTCATTAGATAGTGTTATCCTTAGAAAAATAAAACTTGTCAAGAAAGGTTATTTTTCAAACAATAGATGTTGCTTTTTTTTTCTTTTTCTTACAGCACATTTCACTCACAATGATCACAGGGTGATCATTCTAGTCAACTACTTAGGAGAGCAACAAGTTAATGGCATAAACACCTTTTAGGATGTCTTAGCTTTGCTAAGGGAGTCTCCTACAGTGGATTGCTGGCTGGGTGGAGTTACAGGAAAGCTACATTTTCTTCCTTAAGCCAATAATCTTCTCATAGCTAAGAAGCCACTCCAGATATACAGTTCTGCTGTATATTTTCTATTAATTGCTGACAGTTTTATCTGAGTATAAAATTTCCATAGCCAAAAGTCAACAAACTTTCAAGCTGTTTGTTGACTCTTTTCCTATCAATACCTTTCCTAAAGGAGTAAAATCTATGTAGTCTACAACGCAAATATTAGCAGTACACTTGACTGGCTTAATTTGATGTATTTATAGATCTCGCCAGGCTAAATGCAGAAGGGACACATTCTTTATTGTATTCTGCATTTTATACCAGGATCAATTTGGTTGGAGGAAGGTCATGCCATTGTAGAAAATGTTAAGCTGTCATTTTCCAAATTGGTCAAAAGTTTGGAGTACGAAACAACTCATATCAAAACAAAGGGAACTGATCAAGGATTCAGTTATTCAGGGAGCTGCTGAAATTACCTTGTGACATTTAATGACATAGGTTAATTTATTCATCAAGTAAATGAAATGAAAGTAGATGGAAGGTTAAAAGACAGAAACTATGAGGCAAATTCATTTTCTTATTCATCGAATTAAAAAAATCATGGCATATAAAAAATAAAAGTCATATGGTCATTTCAAGAGATAATCAACACTGATGAGATTGAAAATCAATTTCTATAAAACTATCTTTAAAGCATTTTTATCCCCCAAATCAAACCTGAGTTTAATTAAGCATCCAGACACAGCTACTAATTTACAGGAAGAACATAGGTCGGGGGAACATAAAAAAGAACGTCACAGGATACAATTGGCAAAACCCAAACTATGGAGGCTCTACAGGGCAAATAACATGATTTCTTTAAAAAAAATTACAAGAAGATAAAAAGACAAAGACAACTAGAACTAGATACAGATTCAAGGGTGAGAGAAAAGAAAAACCTAAAATATAGACATTAAAAGGAGATACATAAACCAATCACAATGAGTAAAACTTATTTAGATCCTGATAAAAGAGGCAATCTGATCATTGATTAGATAATACATATTACTAAAGGGTTATCCTTAATTGGTATATGTGTCAAATGCATTATGGTTATGTTTAAAATAGTCCTTATCTTTCAGAGATACATGCTGCAATATGTCTACATTGAATAAGATGTCTGTGATTTACTTCAAAACAGTAAGAGGAAAGGAAAGTGAGTGAAATCAGGACAAAACAAAACTGATCACTGCTGAAGTGGATGATGGCTGCATGGCAATTTCCTGCATTATTCTCTGCACTTTTATATGTTCAGTATGCATGTTTAAATTTATACATCTATAGGTACATGTTTAAATGTATGCTTACCTATGTTTAAAACTTAAAAATGCAAAATATAAATTTTTGGCTTTTAAAAAAGATGTCTTTATAAACTGGAATTAGAATGATACTCTATACTACATAAAAATATTGACTTCTGGCCACCAACCTAAGTCATACTTAACTGTGAAACTCTTGGTAAGGTGGTTTCCTTAATATCAAGACTAAGCCAAGAATGCTGACTACTGCTTTGAAAGTTCTAGCCAATGCAACAAGGCAGGAATAACAAATTGTGGTACAATTGTAGGAAAGATGAAATAACCATTATTGGAAAATGATATAATTGGATACTATCCATGGAGTCGGTTGCCACTTCCTTCTCTGGAGAAGACTCTTGAGAGTCTCTTGTACTGCAAGGAGATCAAAACAGTCAATCCTAAAGGAAATCAACCCTGAATATTCATTAAAAGGACTGTGGCTGAAATTAAAGCCCTAATACTTTGGCCACCTGATGCGAAGAGCTGACTCAGTGGAAAAGACGCTGATGCTGGGCAAGATTGAGGGCCAAGTGGAGAAGTGGGTGGCAGAGGATAAGATGGTTGGATGGCATCACCAACTCAATGGACATGTGAAAGTGAAAGTCGCTCAGTTGTGTCTGACTCTTTGCGACCCCATGAACTATATAGTCCAGGGAATTCTCCAGGCCAGAAAACTGAAGTGGGTAGCCTTTCTCTGCTCCAGGGGATCTTCCCAACCTAGGGATTAAACCCAGGTCTTCTGCATTGCAGGCAGAATCTTTATCAGTTGAACCACAAGGGAAGCCCGAGAATACTGGAATGGGTAGCCTATCCCTTCTCCAGCAGATCTTCCTGACCCAGGAATTGAACTGGGGTCTCCTGCATTGCAGGTGGATACTTTATAAAATTTGAGCAAACTCTGGGAGATAATGGAGGATAGAGAAGACTGGAGTGCCACAGTCCAAGGGGTTAAAAAGAGTGGAACACGACTTAGCAACTAATGAAGAAATGGATGGATATCTATATTAACTAGCAAGAAAATCTAATAAAATAAAAGAATTATATTCACAACAGCAAGAGTAAAGATAAATCAATTAGGTCAGGTAGGTGTGATCCTAACAATAAATATGCAGAATGGAAGATACTTTGAAAGGATGATCTAGAAGGGGAATTGCATCTGTATTTGGGGAGAAGAAGGCATTCTACTAAAGGGAAACACAAATGAATTTGTGGATGTAGAAAAATAAATCTCACGTTCAATGAAAAGCAGGTCTGGGAGATGGATTGTAAATAGGGAGGTGAAGTTAATGAGGCTATAAAATAATAATACATCCATATTAAAGAAACCCTGGCTGAAATTAATGTTTAATCTGTAGGTCATGGAGGGAGCTGGGCTTTTGCTTAGGGCCATAATTTAAAAAATTAATGGTCTATTGTATAGTCTTTGGAAGGGGAGAAAAATGGAGATCAGGAGATTAGGGAAGAAGCAGATATGAAGGCCTAAATGAGAGAGGAAGACTGCTCAAACTAGCATGGAAATGATGGGAGAGGAACTGGTGCCATATTGATGAATTAACATTACTTTGTATGCATATACATTAAAATTAAGCAAGAACTAAATGATGAAGTTTGTATTTCACACCTTGTATTGCACCTCTTTCTAAAGCATTCAAACAACCGAAACACACATTTTCTCATTACTCTTCACACAATCTAGGAACTACCCATAATAAGACAGAGGGACTGAAGCCTATTCTGAATACTCAACACTCATTGGTAAAATTAAAATGTCAAGTCTTGCAGCCAAAACTACATGACTGATGCTTTTCTAATGTAACTACCACATGTCTGTTGATATCACAGAACCTGTTACAAGCAGACAATATTCTAGTTCACCCAAAATTCTAAGTATACAGCTATGTAGGTAGTGATAGTCCTAGGATTTATGAAAGCGTGTCCTTGACAGGAAATGACTCCCGACAAATCATTTTAAGTAATCTACACGTCCAGTGTTTTGCATACAGGAGTCTCTATAAAAGTATAGGTAAAAAACAAGGTCCAGACAACACAGACACCGTCTTCCGAGGGTTTCAGGTTGGAGTCAGACCCCTTTGATCAGTGGATCTCTAACACAATAGACCTGACGACTATCCCTTCAAACAGCACCTTGGCAGCTCTAAACCCCTAGACTGTCCATTGCTACACGCCATTTAGCCAAACTACAGAAATTCTGTGTTTGTGTGATGACTGTAGACATAAAGAGCCAGACTCCAGTTCCACAAGCTCAATATTTTCCACACTGAGGCCAAAGGTTGTTGCATATAAAGTAATGAAGCAGTAAAAGCATGTTTGACGATAGGAATCTTGCTGTCTTGCACTTGGTTAATTTCAAGGCACAGATTTTCCCAGAATTCCCAGGAGTTTCCTGTTTCCAGGTTCGTGACCAGAATAGTGAAACATCCCTTCCTGTAGGACGATGTGTCCATGAAATGTGTTTCTGTGGTTTTTAGGGTCTTAGCACAAATTCTAGGCTACCAAATAACACCCAGAAATCTTTTTTCAATATTGCTATGGCCGTTTACATATGGCCAGAAAACAAAGT